CATCCCTCTAGCTACTTCCAAACTAATTCGGCATTGAAAGTCTCAACTAAATTATTTTGTTAAACATAACGAGCTTGCTTTACTCTGGGTGCTAGGTCGCTCGGGAGTACCTGGTAATGAGACATCTGATCACTTGGCTAAGACCGGGAATTCTTCGGTGCGAAACTAGTTACAGCACTACCACCTTCGGCCATCAGAAACTGGGTAAATACTTCGTTTAGCAATGCTTGGAAGGCATCGAGAGGCTGCACGTCTTGCATTCAAAGTCGGAAGATCCATCTAGTTTTGTGTTCTCATTGAGCAGATGGGACTGCATGGAATCTACGCAAACTGGGAAATTAGCGAGGAGACTGTAAGAAGCCTATGTTTCCTTGAAAAGAGAATTACTTCGTGTTTTATCGCGGTTCATTCCGAGTCCCCTGCCCTCTGTCCAGTTAATTAAATTCTTGGTAGGTACGTTCCCGTTTAATAATCTAAGTTTAGACTTAAGCAAACCACCTTCGCATATTATTCCATATACATACATACATATATGTATAAACGAATGCAAGCGAATTAAAAACAATATTTTATTTCATATTTCGTTATAATAGCAGAACCTTTGTTGCTCCATTTCTAAATTAAACATACTTACATATGTTTGTAAATAGTTGTATGTATATTTGGAAAACAATTGCATCCTTATAGCGCATTTAGTAGTAAAATGGAAAAATTTCTGTGGCCTGCAGTGCACTTCGAACGCAATGAATTTTAGCAACAGACCAAAAAAAAACATAAAGAAAGCAAGGCTGCCTTTGCTTAGCGACATTTTGCATTCTCCGAAAAAACCGCGTATGTGATTTGTGCATGCATTGCATACTTTGAGGCGTTTAACGCCTGCTTGCGTAATACAAAAAAACGAACAAACATCAACGTGCGGATGCATAGTGGGTGAGAGACTGTGGTAAGGCAAATATTTGCGCTTCTATCTCCAGGCACATATGTATGTATGTAAATATATGGCATGTGTGTAATGCTAGAAGGAACAAGCTTATATTTGTTTCCTCCTGCACACATCGACACCTTTACCGCTATACTGTAATGAGTTATTTAGGCATCTTACTTATTTTCATTTCCTTCTGGCAGTAATTCGTTTTTTTTTTTTGTTTCTTATTTATTTAGTAGTTGCCTTGCAAATTTTTCCAAACCAAACCTTTTTTTTAAAGGAATTTTCAATTTGTGGCTAGTCTGTTGTTTCTTAATTTTGGCGACATTTAATTTTGCGAAACACTTAGTTTTTTTCTTTGTAATTTTGTAATTTGTAAATGAATATTGGTGGCATAAGAGTGGTCATAGTGTATCGCATTATTGTTGTTATATTTAGTGTGCGTACTGTGCATTGCAATAAGCGGTTGGCGGCGAAACTATTTCTGTTGTGCAGGGAATAAATTTTGGTGAATTTTAATATAAGTTTTTGTTTACATAAATGTCAGCCATTTGACTTGAGGGTCTGCCGGAGCGGTTTATTATTACGGAAATGTATGCTGTGTGAAAATAATTATTTAGATGAAAAAATTCTGTGTAACCAAAATATAAGTGGGTGTGTTGCTTTAGAGGATTTATGAAAAGTGGGTATTAACGTTTTTAATTTCTATTTGCAGGGGAAGATTATTGTTTGAGTTGTTAATCAAGTCACAGCAATCAGCCGGATGGCCGCTGCGACCTGGCAGAAAAGCATAAGGACGACAAGTCCACAGGTCGTTTCTTAAACTGACGAGAGCTGCTAGCGAATTAAACTTAATAGATAATTTAACTGCTAATATACCAAAATCGGATCCTGAAATAAACAGAGTTCCTCAAGCATGTGGTACTTAATTTCAAAATTATTTTTGCGACTTTTAAATTTTCTGCAAATAGCCTAAAAATATGAAAAACCTTCTTTCATCTTCAGCTCATGACACGAATTTCGACCAAAGCCTCAGTATGGATCCGTCATCAGCATCGGACGGTTCTATGAAAGGCGGAGGAAGAGAGGCTCTTAGCCTCAGTAAACGAGGACATCGAATTGGTATGGCTGAGGAAAACTTTGGACGATGAATATCCTGTAAAAAGAACCTCGAACACTCAAAGCCGGCGTCCGCAGATGTCTTTCTCCTCCTTGAGCAAGGTGGAGCCGACGTAGTCCTGCTACAGGAACCGTGGCTGAGCAGTAGCGGTATCTGCGGGATCGGGATGCCTAAATTTAAGCTGATGGTGCAGAAACAAGTAGGCAGACCAAGATCATGATCATCAGAAAGGAATCCAAAGCACTAATTTTACAAAATTTCAGCAGTGAGGACATTGTGACGGTAAGCGTGAAGAGCGGCGCATATCCGGAGAGCCGATATTATTGGGCGGAGCAAATTCGAGGCATTCTAAGTGAGGACTTAGATATTTCTAATAGTTTCTCTATTATCGTGTTGCATTTCCAATTCCGAGGCTACTTGATGATCACCCCTTCTCGGACCATAGGTAAATTCAGTTCTCTGGACGAAGATTGTTCTAAAAGTATCTCCTTTAGAAATTTTAGAAGAACGAATTTGGAACTCTAAAGCCAACAAATACGGAAACTACTCCCAGATAAGGCGTTTTCGCACTGGCTGCCGAGATAGGTCGATCTTCCACTCAGCCGTCGATATGTATGTGGTAATGGCCAAATGCTAAATAGAAGTAACCTAACTTTGCGCCGCCCTTGGGAGAGCCTAAGCCGGCATTTTCTCGAAGCAAAACCTTCACATAGGTGCATTAGAAAGCATCTCTATCGAATGCTAAACGAGTTCTGTGAGAGAGGGCGTTATATCACTGAAGTTCAATCCGATGTAGATAAAGAGTTTCAGATTTGATTATTGTAGCAGGTTAAACTCCTAGATTGGACTTGGATATGGCAAAGGTATTTATGTACTATCAGATTGAGTTATATCCCGCAAAGCTGGAAAATAGTCAAAGTTGTCTTCATTGCCAAACCGGGAACGCATAACACTTCCCACCAATAAGTATTACATCTTTCCTGCTAAAGGCATTAGGTAGACTTTTTGACTGGCACATAAACTTTTCAAGGATCAACATGCATACACCATGGGCTGGTCAACAGAAACTGTCCATTATGAAGTTGTCAACTACAATGTACCGTTATGCAATTGGAGGCACGGACCAAGGGGGAGTTCTGTCTTTGCTGCTATGGGTGGTTGAACTGAGCGACATTCTATTGGACAACCAACAAAGTAGTGAAGGTATATGCAGATGATGTAGTTGTGGCGGCATCAGGTCTATTCCCCTCAACGATTAGTGAAATCCTAGAGCGAGCTTTTCTCGGACTACAAACCCGGGCGAGTAAAAGAGCCGGGGTATCAACCCCAACAAAACTGAATTGGTGCTGTTTGACAAGAAAATAAAGACAACTCACATTGCCATCCTAGGCGATGTGTTTGGGTGTCGTACTAGACACCAAACGGCGCTGGAAGACAAATATCGAAAGGCGTGTAATGACAGTTTATTATACGTGCAAAAGAATATTCAGCTGGAACTGAGGATAAAATCCAAAGCTTGTCCTCTGGATGTACACTGCTATCGTACGACCAATACTAACTTACGGGGCCAGCCAAACAATACAACGTCAGAAAATTAGGCAGTATACCAAGAGCAACTTGTGCAGGTGCTACGGGAGCAATTAAGTCGTATCCTTCTGATGCGCTTAGAACTCCACATCCGCGAAACTGCTGCATTCTCGGCAATAAGACTCAAGAAGTCAGGCTGATGGAGAGCCCTGCTGCACGGCCATAGTGGTATTCTTGACAAGCTTATCGAATCAGAGAAAAAATCAGACTGTATACCTCATACGATAGATTTCAGGTGAAGTTTCCTTCTAGACGAGACTGGAGTAAGGTGAGTGTCTATAGTTGAGGAGAATTCCATTGGTAGAGCCTTGAACTGAGTATCCTTAGAAAACGGGTTAGGAAAACTTGTAGGCTAGCCAAGCGTGCTGACTCTAACGATTGTTGGGATGAGTACAGGGATCTTCTAAAGATCTACAAGAAAACATACGTAGTGAAAAAGATGCTCACGAAGGAATTTCTGTAGTAGAACCGAAAGCTCCAATGAATTGCGACTAAGCAAAGTCCTGTCCAAGGGTTGTGTAGCTCAGGAACTCATTAAAAATAACGACGTCGAGTGGACTCAATGTGGCGAAGAATCTTTCGTTTTATCATTACAGACTCACTTCTCTGAGGTCGAGTATCCAGCTGGTCTACCTGACGCTGCAGTATCCATCACAGGAGAGGGTAGCCTTGCAAGAGAACTGGTGACGCCGTATAGGCTGGAGCGGACCTTGAGCCCAATTTCACAGTATAAGTCGCCGAGACTGAACGGCATATTTATTGCGATGCTGCAGAAGGCAGGTCAGAGGACCAGGGGTTGGCTGAGCAACATATTTGAAGGCTGTATAAGGCTGAACTAAGTGCCAACGTCTTGGAGGACTGCGAGCGTGCTCTTCCTGCCAATAGTGGGCAGAAGTGCCCACGCATACCCAAAGTATTACAGGCTCATTAGCCTAACATCGTTTCTTCAACGACCATGGAGAGGCTAACAGACGTACGCATCAAAGAAAGCGTAGCGGGTCACCTTATTTCAAAGGAACAACATGCCTACACGAAAGGAAGATAAGTAGATACTGCCCTACACAATGTTGTTTGATGAATAGAAGCAGCTCTGGAGAACGGAGAATTCGTGTTGCGTTTCTTTCTGGACACAATGGGGGCATTCAACAACGTCTCAATGCAAAGCATTTTGGACGGAATGACGACCATAGGTGTTCATCCCATAATTTCGAGCTGGATAAGCGGTATGTCAAGCTGCAGAAGTATTTCGGCCCAGTGGGATAGGCATGAGACCACTAAATTAACTTATATTTGGTCATTCAGTACTCGTTCTACAAACAAAAATTGTATGAAAGAATTTAAAATAAATTATGTAAGTACAATGCTCACTCTGAGGCAAAAGTCTTTGAGCAAGTGTCGCAAGCAAAGTTCCCACCATCAGTTTTGCGCTTCTTAGGTTTCGTAGATTCCTCAGTCGTCGAAGTGGTTTGCTGATCTTTCGTCACCCCTACAGGTGGTACACCATGTATACTCTTCATGTGATCTTTGAGATTATGACGCCGTGAAAATTTCAAATCGCACAATTCGCAAACGAAAATTTTCTCATTTGTGTGCTGACGCAAATGGCAACGCAGCGAATGTTTGCGGAACTCTTTCGAACAAATAGGACAAGCAATGATCTGATTTTTACTCATTGGACCATAAGTGTGATGCAGGCGGTGAAAGATCAGTTCTGACTCGTATGGAGCGCTGAAAATGAAAAGTGGCGAAATGAGTTAAAAAAAAAATAAGTTTAGTAGAAAGTGGAGGTAGGAGTAAAGTACCTAAAATCGCAATCCTCACAGCTCCAGCGACTGCTGCTTTGCACCTGCTTGTCGCCTGTACTTTGGAGAGCCTCTTTCGAAGTGCTTGCTTTCGGCTGGCAGTGGCGCGTATGACGTCCAAGCGCTTGCGCCAGCGCAAAACTCTCACCACAACTCAAGCAGATGTGACACAGCAGCGGGTGTGATGTATCGCGATGCGTTTTCAGTGCCTCTTTGCTGGCGCACAGCTCGTCGCAGTCTTTACACTTCACCGGCACTTGCTTCTCATTCGCAAGTGATTTTTGCACCCTCTCAGTAGGCTTGCTGGTGTCGGTGCTGGCGCTGGCACGGTCATTGCTGCTGGTTGCCTTTATGATAACTGTACTGCGCGTGGGCTCAGCTTTCGGATGCGAAAGCTCATGCAACATCGCTTCAACCACCGATGAGGCGCTGTAAAAGAGGGAAAGTGCGATTTTAGAACTTCATGAGCTTCCATTTACTGCATAAAAAAACCTACACAAAATTACACTTATCACAGCTTTTTACGCATTTCGTTGTCTCGCGCTTACGCCTCTTATCCGCGCTCGTTTCCGCCGCAGCAGCGCTCGCCCGATGTTCGGCCGTCTTCCGATGTCTGCGCGCTTTACAAGGCGTATTGAACTCCAACTTGCATATAGAGCAAAAATATTTGCTTATACTGTGTCTATTCTTCTCGTGTCGCTGCAATGCCACCTTGGAGTGAAGATACTCTGCGCACAGTCCACACTTGTAGCGACTTTGGTAGGTATCCGACGCAGTACCACACAATTGCTTGTCTGGATGACAGAGCAGCATATGCCTACGCAGCTCGACGTTATAGCGAAAGCTCTGGCGACAGCGTGTGCAGTCGATGCTTAGCTTCTTGCTAATACAAATCGGCACCGAGCGATTGATGGCCAGTATGACTTCCTTGTGCTCGGCACTGAGTAGGTGTCGCCGCATTTGGTTGTTATCCTCGCATTCGAAGTGGCAGTAGCTGCACCAAAATTTGCCCAACCCTTCGGAGGCGTCCAAGTGTTCGGGTGAACTCCAGTGCTGCAAGAACATTTCCTCGGTGTTCGTATAGAAGCGACAGGGTCGACATTGAAATGGTGACTGCAACACCACCGAGTGTATATTCTGCAGTATCATAGGCAGCGATTTTGCCGGGTTCATTTGCATGCGCCGGTAGTGAAAGTGCGAAATTAAATGTTTGCCCACCAGATGGCGCAACATGCTGTGCTTGCATAGTTGACATCGTATCAAGTTGGCGCGCCGCTTGCGCTTTTTATTAACACCACCACTGGTGGACGGCTGGGGTTCTTCTAGCGCCAGCGTGAAACTTTTACTCAAATCGCCACGCTGTATATCGTCCAGCGTAGCCTTTTCCAGCTGACGTTCGGGCTCTGCGCGCTTCTTATGATAACCAGTTTTGAGATGATTTTCATAGTTCGTCTTGCTCTTCAAGCGTCGGCAACATATATTACACCAATACTCCTGATTCGCAGATTTCGCCAACTCAACCACTTCCTCTTTGTATTCGAGGCGTTGCATCTTCGTGCCAGGTATCCACTTCCCCTTCGTATGCTCGGCAGGTGGATGTTGACCTTCATGCGCCTCGGCGTTTTCCAACTCATAGGCATGTTCATCCCAATTAGGCGAGATGCGTGCAAGTTGTGTGTGCGCGACGTGCAACGTTGGTCGATTCTCCGGCCGCCATTTTCCACCCGTGTGTGTTTCGGGCACGACTGGTGGTGAGTGCGGCATTGCTGGTGGCTTCCATTTGCCACCAGTCGCATGCGCAGCGGCTATAGGATCATAATCTTCTTCATCCTCCTCCATTTCCGCGTCAACATCCTCTTCTTCTTCTTCGCTAGCTTCTGGCGACTCTTGTTCAAATGCCATGGGTTTGAAATCGTCATAGGACTTCTGTTGTTGCGCGTTGCTGCCGCTTGCATGCGCCTCTGACATCCACGGCTCATCGGGTTGGGGGCCAATCGGATCCGCGTGTTCGGTTTTGTCGTGTCGCTGTTGCAAGCTAGTCGATGGTTGACTGTGCGCCGCACCCATTCCTTGCTTGCCACTCGTTGAAGGTCCGGCTGCTTGTACGCTCTGCAGCTGCAGCGAGGAAAAGAACACATCGGCACCCAACTCGTAAGGCAGTTCATAGGCATCGGCAAGCGACTTGGAAGTTTTTCCGCCGTGTGTCGCTTCTTTGGCATATGACTCTGGCGGTTCGGTGAAGGCGAATGCGTCATAGGTGTGGTCGAGATGTGCACGTGGCGTGGAAATTATTTCTGTAGGCACAGCGTGCGGTGAGACGTGTCCCCTTTTGTTGGTGCGCACGGCGGCGCTGCTAAGTTTGGTGCAACGCGTTTTACGGTGTTCGATGTAAGCTTCGAGTCCGACAATCGTTGTACTGCATTTGATGCAGAGATGCGTGTCATCCAAGTCGGGATCGATCATTCTGATTTTTTCGTATTTTATTTACTTTTCTGAAATGAAAGAGTAAGAGAAAAGATTAGGATCGGTTAGGAGCAGGACATGCACTGATTTGAAATTGTCTATTCTGAGTTCAATATTGTTGAAGTTTAGCTTGAGTCTTGTGACCAAAATATCTCCTATTGATCTTGATAGACTTTGATGATTTCCGAAGGAAGTGCTTTACTTAAATTTTCTCGTTTAAGAGCCGATGATGGCGCAACTAAATTTGTCAAGGAAAAGGCGAAGATGAGAAATTGCCCTAAATGAGGCTCCAGCTAAATGAGTTAGAGAGGCACAGACCCAGATAGATAGAAGAGGAAGTTAGGAAAAGTCGTCGAGACGAAAGATCCTCCATTTAATCGAAACGAAATGAAGTGACAGCGATTTATGGGAAACACGATGAATCGTAAGGTATCTTAAAGCTTAAACAGACGGCAGCGTTGATCCTGATTAACTCGGACTTAATCCGGAACAATTGCAGTTAATTCTCGAGTTGATCCAGATCAACGCTGCCTTCTGCTTATGCTTTAATAGATTGTTCCCACGACCAACGGATCTATGTTACTGGACTTACTCAGATCTTGTTTCTGCTATAGCATTTACAAAAACTGTGAACGAACACAGTATCTCGGCTGTCACGATAACTGGAGGCAGGATCAGGTAATAACTATTTAGATTGCCATCACCCGCTTCGCTGAGTGTAACATTAGAATTTAGAAATGAATCCTTTGCAAAATCATTTCGATTAATACCCATATTTTATTAATTCATTCAAATTAATAAATAATTTTAATTTACTATAATCTGACAAATATATTGTGAAACATTCATAAGTATTTCTGTTACTTAATTACCATAATTAAAGTTGAATTTGATTTTTCAAACAGGTGGCAACCCCGCTACATTAAGCTTTGAAATAAACCCCTTTGAAGACCATTTCGTTTAAAACCCATATTGAAATAATGCATTTAATTTATTAAATAATTTTAATGGAATTTAATTTTTTCACAGGTGGCAACCCTCTTCAAACACCGCAAAAAACTCGTTCAAACAAAAGATTTCTAAACGCTCTTGTGTTTGACACTTTAACTTGTGTATAATTTTATGAAATTCGACTTTTCCAACAGGTGGCAAGCCTCTACAAAATATTTTCAAACTACAAACTTATTAAACCTCATTCGTCTAATGCCCGTATTGTAATACACGCTCCAATTACCTAATTCCCTTCATCAAGTAAATTTTGATTTTTTAAACAGGTGGCAGCTCTGCTACATGTAGCAAAGAAATTAAGCCTGTTTAAGCCCATTTCGATTGATACCAGTGTTTTTGGTATTAATTTTATTTCGAAAATAATTTTAATGGAATTTAATTTTTAAACAATTGGCAACCCCAATCAAACACCTAAACAAAATTCTACATGTTAAAAACAAAGATTTCTAAACACTCTTGCATTGGACACTTTAACTTGTGTGTAATTTAATAAAACTCTACTTTTCAAACAGGTGGGAACCCTCTGAAAAATATTTTCAAACTACAACCTCTTTCGTCTGCCACCCATATTGTAATGCATTTATAAGTATGTATTACAATTACCTTATTCCCCCCATTCAAGTAAAATTTGATTTTTCAAACAGGTGGCAACACTTTTATATGTAGTTTAGAAATAAAACCTTTCCAAACCCATTTCGGTTGATACCCATATTGCAATTAATTAATTGAATTTAATTTTTGAATAGGTGGCAACCCTTGTAAAATACCTCACCTTACCTCTAAATGTTCAAAACTATGGTTTTTTAACAATCTTTCGTTTGACACCCATATTTAAAATTTTAATTAAGGTTACGAATAATTGATTTAAATTTCAAATAGGTGGCAACGCTTTACAAAATATTTATTCAAACTACCACCTTTTTAAGCCTCTTTCGTCTGACTGCAGAGAATGTAGTGCTTCTTTTGACCATAGCTTTGCATTCAACTGCTCACGTACTGCATCTCCTTTCACCTTCCCCACACAAGCTCCACGCTTTGCATATTCAAACCATTGATTTATACGCCTTGCCTGACAGCAGCACTTCGTCAATGCTTTAGCGAAATGAAATCGTTAAAAATTGTGCAGAAACAACAAATTACGAGGCATATTAACAGCGCAAATCGTTAACAATAATTTAGGCATGCCACTTCAACGCGCATGTCCCTATTTGTCATGGCAATGAGTAGATATCTACTACCAGCGATAGACCTCGCCTGCGATTTGCATAGTGCCAACGTAAACGCAAACGCAGCTCCTCGACACAACACCCAAGCGATAGAGCCAAGCTGCCCACTCGCTTTTATATGTATGCTCATCGTCGACGGCGCGCAAATCCATAAAGTATCGCGCATTCCTTATTTAATGATTTCTGAGTTACAAGCGGCGGCCGTCGATCGACCGACGTAGCACGGAGAAATGTGGCAAGTGCGCGCACAAATCTCAGCGGGTACATTGTGCAACATTTTCACTACAACTTATGACCACTGTGCTGGCAACAAATAGACCGCAGTCCAGTTGCATTGCTACATAGACGCTAGTCTCATGAATGAACCACTACCGCATTAGTCAGTTGGCTATTTGATTATTGCCATTGTGGCGGAGCTGCACGCGCGCGCCCGCGCTCTGGCAGCGTCTTTCATTCGTGCCGCAGCGACAATATGATGCGCACTCGCAATGCGTTTTTGCGACCGAAAGAGTTACGAGTAAGGGTGAAAAACAAAAGTACACAGAATTAATGTGGCTTTTAGCAGCAGCGCTACAGCGCTCTGTGTGTGTATACTTGTGTGCGAGTGCGCGTGCGCAGTGCGTTTGCTCATGCGCTTTAAGTTATTAATATTACCAAATGAGTCAATTTGAAATAAATAAGCGCGATCAGAATCATCGCAATCGCTTTGCGGCGGCGCGCGGTGCACCTCGACGCGACTTGTTACGCCACAGCACTGCAGTGGGAGCGCTTAGATGGCGGCAATTCTGACACCGATCGACGTTGCTGTTGGTCGGCGCGAATAAAGTTGTCGTCGTCCTGGCGTTGGTTGCTATGGCGCGCAAGCAGCATTGATGCACACGCCTAGGCGTGCGAAGCCGCATGACAGCTGCACATTTGTTAGGCGCGTTCTGAGAGTGACATACATACATACATGCGCGGGAAGTAGACATGTTTGAAAGCGATCAACGTCGCAGATATGAAGCTGCTGCTGGCGATGCTGATTATCGCTCACACATCTGACAATCTATGTGCAATTAGCAGCAGATTGTAGTATTTGTGCGATGCGATCGACGTTTGTGACAGTCAATAGGCGCGCCGATGCTTAATGCAGCGAAGCTCATAAATGTGAAATATGAGTGCCGAATCGATAAAGCAGTCACTAAAAAGTAGTAAAGTTTCTTATAAGGATGTAATTTTGAAGTGAAACTTCTTTAGCGGCGGTTGGTTGGTTGGAAGTAAATGGGCAAATTCAACGGAAATTGCAAACGGAAATTTAAAAGAGAAGGATAAAGGCAAAGGTAAAAATAAAAACAAAAACAAAGATGCGTAAAGATAAAGTCAAAAATGAAGACCAGGTAAATTTAAACACTTTACTTATATAAGGGCACAGGTGAAGGGGAATATGTAGATGAATAAAATGATAAACATAAAAGTAAAAACAACGATAAATATAAAGACAAAGATGAGGATGAGGATGAGGATGAGGATACCGATAAACGTAAAGATGAAGATAGAGGAAGAAAGATTAAAATAAAAGTAATTATAGAGAAAAGGATATAGATAGAGACACAGACTAAATTTTTATCGATTTTGCTATCGATATCTTCGGAACTCATCGATATAATAGTCGATATTGTTATCGATTTTGTTATCGATATTTTTAACGATTTTGTTATTGATCTTTTTAACGAATTTGTTATCGACATTTTTTATCGATATTGTTAGAGAATTTTTTATGGATATTTTTATCGAATTTGTTATCGACATTGTTATCGATTTTTTTATCGGTTATTTATCGATTTTGTAATCGATTAATAATGGATTTTGTTATCGATATTTTTATCGATTTTGTTATAGATATTTTTATAGATTTTTGTTATCGATTATTTATCGATTTTGCTATCAATATTTTTATCGATACTTTTATCGATATTTTTATCGATTTTCTAATGGACTTTTCTACCAATATTATTATCGATTTTGCTGTCGAAATTTTTATCGAATTTGTCATCGATACTTTTATTGGCTTTGTTATCGATATTTTGTTGGATGTTACTATCAATTTTGTTATCGATAGAGTAGAAAGATAAAAATTAAGATAAAATAAAACAGAACGACATAAATGTAATTAGAACGAACAGGGGTAGAGGTAGGGATCTAGATAGAAACAAGTAAGAGCAGCGCTGTCTTCGGCTATGCCGAAGGCTCCATACCTTTCTTGAGCATCTGAAAATTTTACGTTAACAGATTACTGCATTTGAAAAAATTGATATATTCACAGCAGACATAGATAGAGGAGATACATATATAAAAAATTCTAGCTAAACAATCAGATATACCTTATATAGCACCAATCTAAGTGATTTTCACTGCTGTGTGATCCGTACGTAAACCGGTAACACAATTCAATGGGTTTAGCTTCCTACATAAAGGAGATACATATATCGCAAAAACTGGTATCTGAACAATCAGTGGTACAAGAGATTAAGATTATACAGCATAGATTTTGACGATTTTCTCAGTAGACTTTGTATTATTATTTAAAAAATAGCCTACGAAATTTATCGGTTTTAGCTGTCCAAATAAAGGAGTTTTACAGTAAAACCCCATATCTGAACAATCAGTTGTATGGGGGCAATAAACAGGTTATAGTGACCCGATCTTTGTTAATTTTACTGTAAACTTTCTGTTGATAATGAGTGAAAATAGTGCGAAATTTCATGTTTCTAGCTGCATAGATGGACTAGTTATAACAAA